GCCCTGCTGGCATTTGAATACCAGTGGCATAGCTTCCAGCATCACAGCAACACGCAAGCCCCCACAGAACAACAAACTGACAGACACGTAGGGGTTAACTGTAGAGGTTTCTTAAATAATGTTACATCCATGCAGCTATTAAAAATGAGCTGCAGTTCTATATGTATTGACATGAAAAAATAGTCATAATATGGTTAAAGGTAGGGAAGTAATCCCATTTTGTAAAATTATGTATTTATAGTTATGTATGTTATATATGGAACCCTGGTGGTGCAGTGGTTAAAAGCTACTGCGAGCTATGGTGGCTAACCAGAAAGTTGGCAGTTCGAATCCACGAGCCACTCCTTGGAAACCCTATGGGGCAGTTCTACTCTGTATATATATGTAGATCATGTTGAGTCCCTGGGGGGCACAAATGGTTAAGCATTTGACTGTTAGCTGGAAAGTTTGGCAGTTCGAACCCACTGATAAACGCCTCAGAAGGCAGGCCTGGCGATCTACTTCTGAAAGGTGACAGCCCTGAAAACACTGTGGAGTAGTTCTACTCTGCATTCATCATCAAAAAGGACATTTCAAGATCTATCCTGAAGTACAATGCTGTCAGTGATAGGATAATATCCATACACCTACAAGGAAGACCAGTTAATACAAGTATTATTCAAATTTACTCACCAACCACTAAGGCCAAAGATGAAGAAACTGAAGATTTTTACCAACTTCTGCAGTCTGAAATTGATCGAACATACAGTCAGGATGTATTGATAATTACTGATGATTGGAATGTGAAAGTTGGAAACAAAGAAGAAGGATCAGTAATTGGAAAATACGGCCTTGGTGATAGAAATGATGCCAGAGATTGCATGAGAGAATTTTGCAAGACCAACGACTTCTTCAATGCAAATACCTTTTTTCACCAGCTATATACATGGACCTTACCAGATGGAATACACAGGAATCTGATCTACTATATCTGTGGAAAGAGACAATGGAAAAGCTCAATATCATCAGTCAGAACAAGGCCAGGGGCCAACTGCAGAACAGACCATCAATTGCTCATATGCAAGTTCAAGCTGAAACTAAAGAAAATTAGAACAAGTCCATGAGAGCCAAAGTACAATCTTGAGTATATCCCACCTGAATTTAGAGACCGTCTCAAGAATAGATTTGATGCGTTAAACACTAGTGACTGAAGACCAGATGAGTTGTGGAAGGACATCATACATGAAGAAAGCAAGAGGTCATTAAAAAGGTAGGAAAGAAGAAAAAGACCAAAATGGTTGTTAGAAGAGACTCTGAAACTTTCTCTTGAATGTCGAGTAGCTAAAGCAAAAGGAAGAAATGATGAAGTAAAAGAACTGAAGATTTCAAAAGGCGGCTTTAGAAGACAAAGTAAAGTATTATAATGACATGCGCAAATACCTGGAGATAGAAAACCAAAAGGGAAGAACACGCTCAGTATTTCTCAAGCTGAAAGAACTGAAGAAAAAATTCAAGCGTCGAGCTGCAACAGTGAAGGATTCTATGGGGAAGATATTAAACGACACAGGAAGCATCGAAAGAAGATGGAAGGAATACACAGAGTCATTATACCCAAAAGTCTTTTATACCAAAAAGACGTTCAACCATTTCAGGAAGTAGCATATGATCAGGAACTGATGGTACTGAAGGAAGAAGTCCAAGCTGCACTGAAAGCATTGGTGAAAAACAAGGCTCCAGGAATTGATGGAATATCAATTGAGATGTTTCAACAAATGGATGCAGCTCTGAAAGTGCTCACATGTCTATGCCAAGAAATTTGGAAGACAGCTACCTGGCCAACCGACTGGAAGAAATCCATATTTATGCCTATTCCAAACAGAGATGATCCAACTCAATGCAGAAATTATCAAACAATATCATTAATATCACATGCAAGTAAAATTTTGCTGAAGATTATTCAAAAGCAGCTGCAGCAGTGTATCGACAGGGAGCTGCCGGAAATTCAAGCTGGATTCAGAAGAAGATGTGAAACCAGGGATGTCATTGCTGATGTCACATGGATCCTGGCTGAAAGTAGAGAATACCAGAAAGATATTTACCTTTGTTTTATTGACTACGCAAAGGCATTCGACTATATGGATCATAACAAGTAATGGATAACATTGCAAAGAATGGGAATTCCAAAACACTTAATTCTGCTCATAAGGAACCTGTAGAAAGATCAAGAGGCAGTTGTTCAAACAGAACAAGGGGATACTGCATGGTTTAAAGTCAGGAAATGTGTGTGTCAGAGTTGTATCCTTTCACCATACCTACTCAATCTGTATGCTGAGCAAATAATCCGAGAAACTGGACTATATAAAGAAGAACGGGGCATCAGGATTGGAGGGAGACTCACTAACAACCTGCACTATGCAGATGACACAACCTTGCTTACTGAAAGTGAAGAAGGTTTGAAGCACTTACTGATGAAGTTCAAAGACCACAGCCTTCAGTATGGATTACACCTCAACATAAAGAAAACAAAAATCCTCATAACGGGACCAATAAGAAACATCATGATAAACGGAGAAAAGACTGAAGTTGTAAAGGATTTCATTTACTTGGATCCACTATCAACACCTATGGAAGCAGCAGTCAAGAGATCAAAGGACGCATTGCATTGGGCAAATCTGCTGCAAAAGACCTCTTTAAAGTGTTGAAAAGCAAAGATGTCACCTTGAGGACTAAGGTGCACCTTACCCAAGCCATGGTGTTTTCAATCACCTCATATGCATGCGAAAGCTGGACAATGAATAAGGAAGACTGAAGAAGAATTGACACCTTTGAATTGTGGTGTTGGCGAAGAATATTGAATATACCATGGACTGCCAAAAGAACGAACAACCAGAAGGATCCTTAGAAGCAAGGATGGTGAGACTATGTCTCGCATACTTTGGACTTGTTATCAGGAGGGACCAGTCCCTGGAGAAGGACATCACACCTGGTAGAGTAGAGGGTCAGCAAAAAAGAGGAAGCCCCTCAACGAGATGGATTGACACAGTGGCTGCAACAATGGGTTTAAGCATAACGATTGTGAGGATGGCACAGGACCAGGCAGTGTTTTGTTCTGTTTTACGCAGGGTCGCTATGAGTCGGAACAGACTCAATGGCACTTAACAACAACTACAGTTAAATATCTGGGTCCCTGGATGGCCCAAATGGTTTGCTCTCAGCTACTAACCAAAGTTCAGCGGTTGGAACACAGTTCTGCTCTGAAACGCATGAGGTTGCCATGGGTCAGAACTGCCTCCACGGGAACAGGGATAGTAAAACATTCAAATGGTTTTTTTCTATTATAAAAATCCTGTATCAACAACACTTTAGTGAGAGCTCTTGTACATACATCTTTGCATACGTCTTCAGTTATTTCCACAGGATGAATTCCTAGAAATGGGATTTGCTAGGCTACTAACAGAAAGGTTGGCGGTTTGAACCCACCCAGTAACTCACCTGGGAGAAAGACTTGGCGATGATCATCTCCCATAAAGATTACAGCCTAGGAAACCCTATGGGACAGTTCTGGTGTCAAAAATGGACTCTGTGGCTCACAACAACAACAAAAGGGTCCTTTACATGCAGGAGAAATTGGTATAGGTTATTGGCTGCTAACCCAAAGGTTGGTGGTTTGAACCCACCAGTCAATTGTAAAGATTTATAGCCTTGGAAACCCTATGGGGCAGTTCTAGTCTGTCCTGTAGGGTCACCATGGGTCGGAATTGACTCGATGGCAGTGGGTTTGGTTTTTTATACCAATTTACACCCATATGTGGACGTGGGAAAACTTTTAGACTCTGTATATCAGCAATAGGTATTACTGTTCTTTTTATTATTTGCCAATCTGACAGGAAATTCTAGTTATTTTAATTTTCATTGTTTGCACGGGCAGTGCATGTTACTCTCTTAGAAGAGAGATTCCAAATTTAGAAACTTAGAAAAGATCCCAAACTTAGGAAATGCATTGGTGTAAAATTAGATAACACCTACGATTTTTTAAAAAAAATTATCTAATACTATGCCTGACTTTCAATATCGCATCCTTTTCCTGCTCATTTTTCCAGTAGGCACAAACGCTTGAATCAGGCATGATGTGTTGAGGCCTTTGAGCCTTCATTCCGATTGCTTCTTTCCCCTTTTCCCAATCCTACCCCTCCTCTGAAGCTTGCTCACGTCCTCGCCTGCCGCGCCGTTTAAAGTGTGAAGCTCTGGCTTCACCGCTTTATGGGTTAAGCGCCTCAGTTTACTTCACAGCCATGGTTCTGGAATTTCAGCTGCATCAGCATCCCGTGGAGGCCTCCTTGAAGGGCAGCTTGCTGCCCTCCCCCACACCTCCCAAGCTTCTGCAATTCTGGGATGGGGGCAATAATTTGCATTTCTAACAAGTTCCCAGGAAATGCTGATGCTGCTGGTCTGAGGACCACCCTTTGGAAAACACTGCTTTGCAAAGACTGGGAGCTTTGTGAACAGTGTGGATCTTAGAGTTCTTCTGCACTGTACCCACCACCAGGCTAGGCGTCCGGACTAAAACAATAATAGGTCAACCCACAATCGTCCTTACATGGTCAGGAAGAAGCCAGAATAGGAAACTGGGTCAATGCACCTAGCTAGCAGGGATGCACTCAAACCCTGGCTTTGCATTTTACCGTGCGGCCTCCAGGTGCGCGGCGGGAGGCGGACACCAGGGGGCAGCGTCGCGCGCTCTCCCTGCCAGAGGCTCGTTTCCGGCCGCGCTGGCGGAGAAGGTCGCGTTCGGGGATCCAGGGGGCGGCAGGTAGGCGTGGCGGGCGGGGCCAGCGGGTCCCAGGGTGCAGTGTCCTCCCTGGACCACGACGCTGGACACAACCGCCAGCGAGGGGCGCCTGGTGGGCGCGGGGGGTAGCTCGCGGTTCCTGCAGGGCCTGCAGCTGGCCGGGCCGCGCGACCCCCAAGGCCAGGCCCAGGCTGGTGGCAGCGATCGGCGATCAGCCGCCGGCTCGGCCCTGGGGCAGCCCCTGCCCGGCTGCGTCTGCGGCCCGCCCGCCAGAGTCTAACCCGGAGGCCGCAGCTGGCCCGCACGGCGAACGGCCCGCCGGCCCAGTCCTGCTGCCAAGCTGAACGTTTAAATGGCAGGACGACTCTGCCCTGGACTGCGATCCGCTCATCCTCCCCGGACATGAATTGTGCACGCGTTCATTCGTGCCAGGACTGTTAACCATCTGCAGGTGCAGTGCTCTGTGTTAAGTGTAATCATATACTGACTTCTTTTTTTTTTTTTTTTTAAAGCAGGATTTAGCCATTTTATTTGAGGTATTGGTGGTTCAGTGCTAGAATTCTCGCCTTCCATACGGGCCACCTGTGTTTGATTCTCAGCCAGCATGCCGCATGCGCAGTCATCAATGGAAGCTTGCATGTTGCTTTGATGCTGAGCAGGTTTTAGCGGAACTTCCAGACTAAGGCAGACTAGGAAGGAAGGGCTGGCAATCTGCTTCTCAGAATCAGCCCGTGAAAACCCAGTGGATCACAGCGATCTATTTCATTCTGTTGTGCATGTGGTTGCCCTAAGTCTGGCGGACTCCACAGCCTCTAAGCAGCTAACAACAGCCGTTTTATTTAGTGATCTTCTCCGTCTGTACCTTGACTGTAGAGCCCCTAAGGCTGAGTAAGCATCCAGGATAATTATTTTAATGTACCCTGTACTTTACTGGCAAGATGGGATTCTACTCCAAATATTGTTGGGTGGCACTAATCCATTTCTTCTCTAGTTGTATACAGTAGTCTGTAAGTTGGTAAAAACGAATTTCATTCCATTGTTTCTTTTTAATGAAGCTGGGAATGTAGACTAGTGTTTCCCATCCCCCCTTACCCATATTGTCCTATCAATGCCAGAAATCCTTTGTGTTTAAACAGTGCCTCAAGTTGTCCTGCCCAACCAGCCTTGCAATCCTTATTATTTAGCTTTCAGGGTGTTTATCATGACCAGTAACTTCCAGTGTCCTTTTGGTTATTTATGTGCAAAAAAGATCCTTCAGTCACACAGCCTTATCCTAAGTTCTGGGCAGCGTACTCCGGAAATATGCTTTATAAAGTGAAAACAAACGAACAAAAGTATCAGGTGGTAAGGTGGGCCAAAGCCTTGTTTAAGAAATAGTAATCTCAGTGCCATCTTCCTGCAGTGACCAAACCATGTTCAACTCAGTCCAAGACCTGAGTGTTGTAGGTCTAAAGGAAGAATGTGGGCTGGAGGCCAGAAAACTTGGTTCTTCCATGTGGAATTGAGTGACCTTGGATAAGTCACTTCAGCTCTGACTCAGTCCTCTTATCTGTGAAAAGGGAATAATAATAATTATACCTGCCCCACAGAATTGGTGTGAAATAAGCACTGTGTAAGTCAGTTGAGTTCTTTGATGAGTGTTTTGCTGAGAGAAGATTCAGAAGTGCATGTGAGAACTTGGGAGGAAGGAGACTTGAAAAGCCACTGAGGACTATAAAATACGGAATCAACAAGAAGTGCGTTAAAGGATGGCTGGGTAATGATGGGAGCCCTGGTGGCACAGTGGTTAAGAGCTCAGGCTGCTAACCAAAAGTTGGCAGTTTGAATCCACCAGCTGCTCCTTGGAAACCCTATGGGGCAGTTCTACTCTGTCCTATGGTATCGTTATGAGTCGGAATCGACTCGACGGCAACAGGTTTAGTTTTTGATTTGGGTAATGACGAGTGTCCACCACCACAGACTGTCGTTAGGTGCGATTGAATCAGTTCTGACTCATAGTGACCCTGTGTACAACAGAACGAAACACTGCCCAGTCCTGCTCCATCCTCACAATTGTTGCTATGTTTGAGCGCATTGTTGCAGCCACTGTTGAGGGTCAATTCAATCCATCTCATTGAGGGTCTTCCTCTTTTTCGATGACCCTCTACTTTACCAAGCATGATGTCCTTCTCCAAGGACTGCTCCCTCCTGATAATAATGTCCAAAGTACATGAGATGGAAGTCTCACCATCCTTGCTTCCAAAGGGCATTCTGGCTATACTTCTTCCAAGACAGATTTGTTCATTCTTCTGGCAGTCCGTGGTATATTCAATATTCTTCGCCAACACCACAATTTAAATGCAGGAATTCTTTGGTCTTCCTTATTCATTGTCCAGCTTTCGCATGCATATGAGACCATTGAAAATACCATGGCTTGGGTCAGGTGCACCTTAGGCTTCAAGGTGACATCTTTGCTTTTTAATACTTTAAAGAGGCCTTTTGCAGCAGATTTGCCCAGTGCTAATACGTCCTTTGATTTCTTAACTGCTGCTTCCATGGGTGTTGATTGTGGATCCAAGTAAAATGAAATCCTTTACAACTTCAATATTTTCTTTGTTTATGATAATGTTGCTTATCGGTCCAGTTGTGAGGATTTTTGTTTTCTTTATGTTGAGGTGTAATCCATACTGAAGGCTGTAGTCTTTGATCCTCATCAGTAAGTGCTTCAAGTCCTCTTCACTTTTAGCAAGCAAGGTTGTGTCATCTGCATATCATGGGTTGTTAATGCGTCTTCCTCCAATCTTGATGCCTTGTTCTTCTTCATATATTCCAGCTTCTTGGATTATTTGCTCAGCATACAGATTGAATAAGTATGGTGAAAGGATACAACCTGACTCACACCTTTCCTGATTTGAAACCATGCGGTATTCTATTCGAACAACTGCCTCTTGGTCTATGTACAGGTTCCGCATAAGCACAATGAAGGGTTCTGAAATTCCCATTCTTCGCAATGTTTTCCATAATTTGTTAGGATCCACACAGTCGAATGCCTTTACGTAGTCAATAAACACAGGTAAGCATTTTTCTGGTATTCTCTGCTTTCAGCCAAGATCTGTCTGACATCAGCAGTGACATCCCTTATTCCACATCCTCTTCTGAATCCAGCTTGAATTTCTGGCGGCTCCCTGTCTGTGTACTGCTGCAACCATTTTTTAATTATCTTCAGTATAATTTTACTTGAGTGTGATATTAATGATGTTCAATTATTTCTGCATGTCATTGGATCACCTTTCTTTGGAATAGGCATAAATATGGATCACTTCCAGTCAGTTGGACAGATAGCTGTCTTCCAGATTTCTTGGAATAGACGAGTGAGCACTTCCAGTGTTGCATCCGTTTGTTGAAATATCTCAGTTGGTATCCTGTCAATTCCTGGAGCCTTGTTTTTCAACAATGCCTTCAGTGCAGCTTGGACTTCTTCCTTCAGTACCATCGGTTCTTTGATCATATGCTACTTCCTGAAATGGTCGAACATCAGCCAATTCTTTTTGGTGCAGTGACTGTGTACTCCTTTCATCTTCTTTTGATGCTTCCTGCATCGTTCAATTTTTTGCCCATAGAATCCTTTAGTATTGCCACTCGAGGCTTGAATTTTTTCTTCAGTTCTTTCAGCTTGAGAAATGCCAAGCGTGTTCTTCCCTTTTGGTTTTCTAGCTCCAGGTCTTTGCACATTTCTTAATAATATTTTGCTTTTTCTTCTTGAGCCACCCTTTGAAATCTTCTGTCCAGCTCTTTTACTCATCATTTCTTCCTTTTGCTTTAGTTACTCTACATGAAAGAGCAAGTTTTAGAGTCTCTTCTGACATTCATTTTGGTCTTTTTTTCTGTCTTTTTTAATGACCTTTTGCTTTCTTCATGTATGATGTCCTTGACATCATCCCACAACTTGTCTGGTCTTCAGTCCACAAGACCCAAATTATAACCTTGAGTATATTCCACCTGAATTTAGAGACCATCTCAAGAGTAGACATGACCCATTGAATACCACAGATTAGAAAGTAGGAGTTTCTAGAGCCCTAAGCAGAATTTGGTACCTGATGGTTGGTAGTCTTTGAGTGGAAAGGAAGAAAGTGAACTGGGGAAGCTACACGGGGCTGGACAATGACAAGCAGGTGTGGATTTATAATGTAGCTTCTAGACCCTTCACTTACACAAATCCCTTCCAAAGCCATGGGAGGGGGGCTAATAATTTTGTATTCATAATTGTGTATTTTTTTTCTTAAAGAGCTCCTTCCCCCTGCCAAAAAACTGTTTAGTCTTCAAAACCAAAAACATCAAACCGGTTGCCGTTGAGTCGATTCTGACTCATTGGACTCCACGTGCTTCAGTGTAGAACTATGCTCAGTAGGGTTTTCAGTAGCTGGTGTTTTGGAAGTAAATCAAGCCTTTCTTCCGAGACACCTCTGGGTAGATTCCAAACTTAGTAGCCAAGTGCTTAACCTTGTACCATCCAGGGACTCCTGTATAAGCTTCAGACCCCATAAAAACCTGAATCCACCCTTAGAAGCAAGGAAGGATGAGTAGGCCAGGGGGAAGGAAGGTTGGCGGGTGGTGGTGAGTACCCTTTTGAAAGATATAACCATGGGGTTGGGCTGGTAAGCTCAGACTGGAGAAGGAGGTGGATGAGAGGATCACAGGGCATGTACGATGAAGAGGTAAAGAGCTGATTCAGTGGGAGTGGGAACCCCATATGTATCAGTGTAGAACTGTGTTCCACAGGGTTTTCAGTGGTTGATTTTTCAGAAGGAGATTGCCAGATTTCTTTCGAAGCAACTCTGGGTGGACTTGAACCTCCAACCCTTCTGTTAGCAGCCAAAAGCATTAATTGGACCACCCGAGGACTCCATCCAGACCACAGAGAGACTTCCAGAACAGTGAAGCAATGGAAAACAAGTGAACTTAGAGTCTCATGTATTACATAGATAAATCTCAAAAACATAATGTGCTTTTAAAAAAGCAAGTGCAAAAGGATATAGACATTGTATAACACATAAAAAGTTTAAATCGTGCATACATTATTGTTTTGTTTTTTTATGGGCACGTACTCATTGTAAAAATAAAAAGCATGTATGGGAATCATATATACCAGTGGTTCTTAAACTTTAGTGTGTATCCAAATTACCTGGAGTATTGTTAAAACACAGATTGCTGGGCCCCAGCCACAAACTTCTGGTTCCATTGGTCTGGGATAGGGGCTCAAGAATTTCCATTTCTTACAAGTTCCCAAGTGGTGCTGATGCTTCTGGTCCAGGAGCCACAGTTTGAAAACTGCTAATATACACCAACTTTAGGATAGTGGTTACTTCTTGGAGGGAACAGAATAGGACTGGGAGGGGTACAAAGGAGCTTCAGCTATATATGTCGTATTTTATATCTTTTAAGAAGACCTGAAACAAATATGATACAATGTTATTTGACAAAGCTGGATGGGTGTTCATTATCTTATTCTCTGTTTTTCTCTGTGCTTGAAATATTTCAGGAAAGAAAAGAGTCCCTGTTTGCTGTGTAGAGAATGGATTGGAAAAGAGAACAGAAGTGGGAGACCACTTGGGAAACTGTTGCAGAAGCCCAGGTGAGAGATGACGGTGACCTAGACCAGGGTGGCAGCAGCAAGGAAGGACAGAAGTGAACGGATTTGAGAAGTCTTTGGGTGTTTAGGACTCCCTGGGTGGTCCAAATGGTTAACACGCTTAGCTGCTACCCAAAAGGTTGGAGGTTCATGTTAACCCAGAGGCACTTTTTTTAAAATTCTGCTTTATGTGAAAGTTTACAATTCAAGTCAGTTTCTCGTACAAAAATTTATACACACACTGCTATGTGACCCTAGTTGCTCTCGCTATAATGTGACAGCACACTCTTCCTTTCCACCCCGGATTTCCCGTGTCCATTCAGCCAGCTCCTGACCCTCTCTGCCTTCTCATCTCACCTCCGGACAGGAGCTGCCCATTTAGTCTCATGTACTTGAACTAAGAAGCACACTCCTCACGAGTATCACTTTATTTCCCATGCTCCAGTCTTATCTTTGTCTGAAGAGTTGGCCCCGGGAATGGTTGCAGCTATGGGCCAACAGAGAGTCTGGGGGCCATGTCTTCCGGGGTCCCTCCAGTCTCAGTTAAACCATTAAGTTAACCCAGAGGAACTTTGAAAGAAAGACCTAGTGGTCTACTTCTGGAAAAATCAGCCAGTGAAAACCCTATAGAACACAGTTCTACTCTGACACACCTGGGGTTGCCATGAGTCGGAATCGACTTGACAGCAGCTTGAGTTTTGTTTTTTCTTGATAAGGCAGAGCTCAGCAGACTGCATCTCTCAGACCAACTATGGCCTATCACCCATTTTTATGTGGCCTGTTGGGCTGAGAATGCTTTTAACTTTTTTAAATGTTGGGAAAAAAAATCGAAAGAAGTATAATATTTTGTGACGTATGGAAATTATATGAAATTGAAATCTTGGTGGCCATAAATAAAGTGTTATTGTGACACAGCTACGCTCATTTGTTTATGTATCTTCTGGGGCTGCTTTCCCAGCACAGTGGCAGGATTGGATAATGTCAGGGACAGTATGTGGCACCCTCGTCACTTTGCACCGTTGCTCAGTGCACCACCAGTCACGCTGATACAGTAATAACTCAGGTAGACGCTTGACCCACAAAGCCTAAACGTTTACTGCCTGGCCCTTTACAGAAAATGTTTGCCAGTCCCTGACCTGGGGCGTAAGTTGAGCCGCACTTGTTCACTTTCAGTGGTGTAGAGTAGAGATGGCAGTCACTGTATTCATTGTTTTAAGAGCACCTTCTAAGACGAGGGAGCCCTGGTGGCGCAGTGGTTAAGAGCCTCGGCTGCTAATCCAAAGGTCAGCAGTTCGTATCCCCCAGCCACTCCTTGGAAACATATGGGGCAGGTCTACTCTGTCCTATAGGCTCGCTGTGAGTTGGAATTGACTCAATGGCATCGGATGAGAGAAGCCTCAGGGGTGATAGCCTTTGTCATTGTTTTAGCTGAAGTTCCTGAAGATGACAGGAGGGAATGGGCCGGGGAAAAGATATGGGCCTGGAGTCTGTGTGAGTCAGGTGAGCCAGCAACTATCCTGAATGTTGATGGGTATGACAGTCAGTTTAAGAAAATAGAGAATGTTGAGTGAAGCTGAAGCAGTTCACCTGGACCAGGGTTTACCAAGCCCCTGTTAGTGACAGCAGGGATAAACAAAGTGGCATTTTCTTTTATTAATGAAGAAAAACTGCACTGAATTATAGACGAGTCCATTATTTCTAAAATTTTGTCACCCAAGAAAGCAGTGCAGCTTCACTGACCCATCTCCAGCAGCCTCATTGGCCTGGGTGACCAGAAGGATAGAGTTGACATTGACTGAGATTGAGAACACTGAAGAGAGCAGATTTTGGGAGAAAGATAAGAAGTTGAGCTTAGGAAATATTTTTAAAATTGAAATATAATTCACATACTATAAAATTCACCATTTTAGAGTAGAATTCAGTAGTTTTTAGTATATTTACAAGGTCATGCAACTGTCACCACTGTCTAATTCCAGAACATTTTCATTACCACAAAAAGAAACCCCATACCCATTAACAGTCATCCCCAGTCTCCCCTGTCCTCAGCCCTAGGCAACCACTAATCTACTCTTTGTTTCTAAGGATTTGCCTGTTCTGGACATTTCATGTAAATGGGAACATACAACACGTGGCGTTTTGTGTCTGGTTCTCTCACTTAGCATAATGTTTTCAAGATTCATCTATGTTGTAGAGTGTGTCGGAGCTATATTGCTTTAATGGCTAAATAATAGTCCATTGTGTGGATGTACCATGTTTATCCATTCATCTGTTGATGGATATTTGGGTTGTTTCCACTATTTAGCTCTTATGAATAATGCTGCTATGAAGATTCCTGTACAAGATTTTGTGTGGACATACATTTTTAGTTCTCTTCGGTATGTACCTAGAAGTGGAATTTCTGGATCTTTTGGTAATTCTGTGTTTAACCTGTTGAGAAATTGCCAAACTCTTTTCCAAAGCAGCTGTACCATTTTACATCCCCACCAGCAATATGTGAGGGTTCCTATTTCTCTACATCCTCGTCAACACTTGTTATTATCTGTTTTTTTAAATTTTATAGCCATCTTTGTGGGTGTGAAGTGGTATCTCGTTGTGGCTTTGATTTTCATTTCCCTGGTGGTGCAATGGTAAAGTGCTCAGCTGCTAACTGAAACGTTGGCAATTTGAACCCACCAGCTGCTCTGAGGGGAGAAAAGACTTGGCGATCTGTTCTTTAAAGATGACGGCCTAGGAAACCCTATGGGACAGTTCTACTCTGTCGTATAGGGTCACTATGAGTCAGAATCAACATCGATGGCACACAACAACAACAGTGACTAATGATGTTGAGCTTATTGGCTGTTTATGTATCTTTTTTGGAGAAATATCTGTTTAAGTCCTTGGCCCATTTTTTTAAAACAGTATTTTATTGTGCCCATTTTTTGATTGGATTGTTTGTCTTTATTGTTGAGGGGAAATATTATTTTTGAGTTGTCTGTCAGACATCCCAATAGAGGTGCCAAGGAGGCAGGTATTGAATTCCGAGGAGAGGCCTGGGTTGGATATGTACGTTTGGGAACCAGCAGCATGTGGGAATGTCATCATGACACTGGTTGAGAGCCAGTGTAGTTCGAAAGAGAAGAGGCCTGAGGTCTGAACCTTGGTGCACCTCAGCATTCGGAGGTCAGAGAGATGCGGAGGACCCAACCAAGGAGCCTGAGAAGGAGCTGCCAGAGAGTGCGGTATCCTGGAAACCAAATAAAAGAGGAGGGAGGGAGTGATCCGCCATGTCAGATGCTGTTGATGTTGTCATGTGCTGTCAAGTGGATTCCAACTCATAGCGACCCCATGTGACAGAGTAGAACTGCCCCATAGAGTTTCCTAGCCTATAATCTTTATGGGATCAGAGTGCCAAGTCTTTTTCCCATAGAGCCACTGGGTGGATTTGAGCCACTAGCCTTTCACTTATCAGCTGAACTGTTAACCATTGCACCACCAGGGCTCCTTAATACTGCTGACAGGTCAAGTGAAACCGAGGCTGCAAATTGACTGGTTAGTGAGATGGAGGTCACTGGTGGCGACCTTGATAATGAAGTTTTGGTGGAATAGCAGTGAGTTCAGGAGATGGAGGGAAAGAAATGGAGATCATGAGTATAGATACTTTTTTAAGAAATTTTACTGAAAAGGGAACAGAGAAATTGAGTACTAGAATTGGGAAAGTAGGGTGAAATGTTGGGAGAAATGATGGCATACTTGTAATGGTTCAGTAGAGAAGGAACATTGCTGATTCAGGGGAAGAGGAGAGGATTGCGGGAACCTTGAGCTGGCGTTAAGGGAAGGACCTAGCACACAGGCACAGGGTTTGTCTGGGCTGAGAGCTCGGCCACTTTGTCCATAGCAACAGCAGAGAAAGTAGAGTGCGCAGGAAACTGGAATGGAGTGTTGGGAGCTTGTGGAAATTCTCTTTCTGAGTGCTTCTATTATTTTTGTTCCAACAAAATAGGAAGGAACATCATTGGCTAAGAGTGAGGGTGGGGAAGCTGGTAATAGAAGTTTGAAGAGACAGGGTGTCCTAGCCCAGTCAGTCTAAGGACACTGCAACAAGGGAGACCACACACCAGTGGAACTCGGGGACGTCTCCATCAAAGAAAAAGAATTAGTATAGAATTTTGGGGAAGGGTGGAGTGTAGGCAAAATTTAAGTGAAGCCATATTTTTTGATAGGCTGAGAGCCCAGCAGGGCTGGGTGTAAAGGAGCCATTACCCGTCTGGACTACAAAGTAGACCACCCCCTAAGGGCCCTGTTTCCTTGGAAACTACAAGATTAAGATAGACGTGCAGTATTCTCTCCAGAAACCCCTTATCTGAAGCCCTGCATCTGGTTTGGAAATCGAGGCTGCTTCTCTGTGTCTTAGATCCTCCAGACAAGAGTAGGGTATTTTATTCTTACTGATATGATTTTAAACAGCGAAATTTCCAATGGTCTGTGGTTTTAGAGAACAAAGAAAACAGTCATCATTCAAAGAAGGGGTTTGTTATGACACTTCATAGCTATAGCACATCCTTAGGAGAAATATTGTTTCCTATTAGCCTTGCGGCTGGCTTTATCGCTGTCTGCTATCCCAGCTCAATGAACAACAGGGAGAAAGTATGAAATAGTTGTCTTCTCTTGGTGTTTCTCGCGACCGGCTCCTTCTCATGCTTCAGTCTCAGCGGTAATGTCACATTTTCAGAGAGGACTTCTGTGACCACTTCATCCAGTTAGTTCCCTCTCCTGGTATTCTCTATCCTTGAACTCTCATCACAATTATATAATGATAAACTTTTTATTTACCTGTTTGTTTTGTTTTCCACACTAGATTTCCCACTGAGCTCCCAGAGGACAAGAACCTCATCTGGTTTTTCCATTAACGTATTCCCAGCGCAGGGCTGGCCACAGAGTAGCTGCTTAACACACACTGAATCAATGAACGGCCAGAAGATAGCAGTCCAGGGAGACAGAGCAGACTGGGACCAAAGAGAGGCTGGTGAGAGGTGGGGCCCTGAGACCAGGTGAGCTGACAGGGCTTGAGGGCTTCAAGAACACAAGGGCTACACAGGCACTAGGAGGGGCCCAGGGAAGGGGACCATTTGGATTATTGGAGTCTGTCTGTTTGCACAGTTGCAATTTTTATTTAACAAAACCTCCTTTTTGGCACTTGGTGGCAGAGTGCTTTCAGACACGGACTGGTTAGTCTGAATGGGGATCTGAGCTGGGAGAAGGAAGACACCCATGAATGTGAGCCAGCCCTTCACGTCCCAGGTCTCTCTGACACAGGAGCACAGTGCTGGCTCTGACATTAACTCAGGAGCCCTGGTGGCACAACGGTTAAGTGCTTGGCTGCTAACCGAAAGGTTGGCAGTTCAAAACCACCCAGTAGCTCCACGGGAGAAAGACCTGGCAGTCTGCTCCCCTAAAGATTACAGCCTAGAAAACCCTGTGGGACAGTTCTTCTCTGTCACATGGGGTGGCTATGAGTCGAAAATTGACTTGGCAGCCCACAGTAACAACAAGAAGAAGAAGATATTACTAGACCACGCATCCAGTTGATGTGGCTATATCTGTCATCACAGTATTGACACACTTCCATTCTGGTTCATTAGTAGTCTCTGCCCAAGCACCCTGAGTGACAAGCACCTGTTTTCCAGGCTCCTCCCCCAGGCCTCCCACCATCCTGACCCCTCTACCACCCACCAGCTAAGTCAGTAATGCCTGGCTCTGCAAGGGCCTCTAGGACCGGCCCCAACACTAGAGCCAGAGTGCTTTCAGATCGGTGAGTGTCCGTGCCTTTTCAGTGGTTACATATTCTGAGCATCACTTCTTCATCATCTTCTCCCTGATTTTACCACCATTATTCTAGCTCACATATTCGTCAGCTCTTATTCTGGGTTATTGCCAGGGCCTCCTAACCAGTCTCCCAGCCTCAGTCTCTTCTACCCCAAATCCATCTTTCACACTGGTGAAGAGTAGCCTTTCCTTGTTAAAAACCTTCAGTAGCTTTTGAGTTCAGTGGTAGAATTCTTGCCTTCCATGCGGGAGACCTGGGTTCTATCCCTGGCCAGTGCATCTCATGCGCAGCCACCACCCATCTGTCAGCTGAGGCTTGTGTGTTGCTGTGTTGCTGAACAGGTCTCAGTGGAGCTTCCAGACTAAGATGGACCAGGAAGATCTTCTTCCAAAAACCTGCCACTGAAAACCCTCTGGGGCACAGTTCTACTCTGACATACACGGTCACCATTAGTTACAATTGACTTGACAGGAACTGTTTTTATTTGTTTTTTAATATTACTTCTTGTTTCATTTTTACATTTTAGGAAATTGTAAAAGATACCATCATGGAAAAGAAATCCCAGGAGAGTAAAAAGGGCCCCACCCACAGAGAAGTCCCGCCAGCAGTGGTGCTGTTGCTCGCGATGGCACTCATGAACGCACTCCTCTACCTCTGCCTGGACCGATTCTTTATTTCCCGCCTCCATTCCACTGTGGACCCCAGCCACTGCCCCTCTGGTTCCTTCAGAATGGGACAGATGAAAAACTGCTCACCATGGCTGTCCTGTGAGGAGCTGAGAACAGAAGTGAGGCAGTTAAAACGCGTCGGGGAAGGCGCTGTGAAGAGAGTGAGTCAATGCTTTGTTCTGCATCACCGACAGCATGCACGCGGGCTGGCCTTTCAGGAAAGTGAGCTATCATTATGTGTTAAGAACCATAAAAATGTTTCTACCCTTTAGCCCAATAATCTCACACCTGGGGATTTATCCTGATAAAATAATCCAAAGGAAGGAAACAAGCTAAACGCATAAAGGAGTACTTTGCTTTGTGATTTATAGCAACAGAAAACTAGGAACAGAAATTGTAGAGGAGTAGTTAATTAAATTATGGTCCAACCATTCGATGGAATGTTCTGTAGCCATTAAATATAGTTGGGAACCCCCTGGAGCAACATAAGAAAAATCTTAGGATGAGAAGTGAAAAAAACAACTAAAAGTGGCAAAAGAACCCCCCCACCCGCCTGGCCACACACGTACACAATTCATGACCACAAACCTCAGGTGCACTCAGCACAGCCCAGAAGTGCCACTCGATTCCCTTACTAAGTGCTTTTTCCCGTTCTCTGAGACAGATGTTGCAGCAAACATCCCACACAATGCCCTCCACCCCAGTCTTAGCTAATGACCTCATTTCATAAGTTATTAAGAAAACAAAAGCCACCAGAAGGGAATCTCCTCATCTTGCCACCACCAGCTCAATAAACCTACCAGCTCAGGTATTGACCCCTGACTTCTCGCGACCTCACTCTTGATGATGACTCCTCATCATTCATGGGTTAGCTCAGTGTCAGTTTTCTGAGAGGCTTCTCCTGACCCCTGGTCTAAACCTCACCCCTCATGACCTCTCTTTCTATACTCATCTTGTTTGTCTCATATACGTAAGTTTCACGAGGGCTTGGAAGGTGTGTCCTCAGCCTCTAGCCCAGTGCCATAGGGTTCATCTTAGGGGGCATAAGACAAAGGCTCATTAGTTGAGTCCTTACAGAAATAAAATATGGGTCTCATTTTGATGGTTTCCTTAGTATATAAACACATTCCCTCTCTCCTCTCTCCCAAACCATGTGTTTTTGGTTTGTGTTTGGGATTGCCAGGAGTATTGTGTCCTCTGCCTGAAGCAACATGTAACATTGACCCCCAAAAGTGTACAGATTGGTTTGTGAAAGGCAGATTGACCCATTGCTTCCTTTCTTTCTTTTAACTGTAAAAGCAGTATGTACAATTCAAATATTCAGTAGGAGGTGAAGTACAAAATAAAAGTTCCTTGTCTTCCCTCTTGCTCTCTCCATCCCTAATCTTCCTCCCTAGGAATAACAGATGGGGATTCATCCCTTTAGATTTTTAAACCTAAGATAACATTGAAAGACCCAGGTACATACTCCCCCAGCCATCTCAAGAGCAGTCATACCCACGTCTCAGGGGGCTGCCCATTTTCTGAAACATAGATCTGGGACAACGGTACAAGTGAGAAAAAGATTCTGGTGGCACCGGTTCTTCCCAAAGGCAGAAGGTCCAGCCACACCACGTGGACAACCACAGCATGATTTAGGTTGCAACTTGCTTTGATCTGGGTGAGCAGAAGGCAGCATGGCCAATGTGGCACTGCTCATGCTTCCAACACAGTCTTGTTCTGTGTGCCCAGCCCGAGATAATCGCAAATCTCTCTTGAGAACTAGAGTTTTTACGGTTGAGTGGATTTTTTAAAACTTTAAAAAAAATTATTGTGGTGAAAATATACATAACAAAGCATATACCATCTCAACAATTTCTACATGTACAATTCAGTGCAATTGATTACATTCTTTAAGTCATGTAACCATTCTCCCTACCCTTTTCCAAATCATTCCATCACCTTTAACATAAACTCAGTGCCCTCTAAGCAAAAATGTCCCTTTTCCTCCTCCCTCCCACCCGTGGTAACCACTAATAATCTTTGGTTTCTGTGTGTTTACTTATCTCGTATAAGTGGGATCATACAGTATTTGTCCTTTTATGACAGACTGATTTCCCTCTGCATGATGTTTTCAAGGTTGATCCACGTCGAGGCATGCGTCATTTCTCTTTATGGCTGAGTAGTATTCCACTGTGTGTATAGACCACATTTTGTTCACAGTTAGGTGTTTTTTTTCTTTAAAATTAAAGTATAGGACACTGAAAATCTATAAAATTCGGATTGGATCCTGTCAGAAGAATGGATTTGATTCTTTCTCTTATGTTAACTTTATAGCCCTCTAATTGTATATAACCTTTAGAAGGAGCTTATGTAATCTGTTTCAATGCCGATAGTTTTCTGGAGCGCAGATGCTATGTAAATTGTATATTTAAAAGATGAACTAATGTAACAGCGTCCACTCCTCAGCTGCCTTTGCTGGGTATGCCTCCTCATCCCTCTAAATCTCGTACCATTCTTCTCCACCTGTGCTTGCCCCTAGGTGACCTTGTCCAGCCTCATGGCTTTATCTGCAGCCAGACTGTCCCCTGAACTCCAGAGCTTTCTATCCAGCTGCCTACCCCACATCTCCACTTAGATATCTTCAAGGCTTCTCAAACTTAGCATGTCCAGATCTTCCCCACAAAGCCCGCTTTTCCTACACTCTTCCCTCTCTCAGTGAACAGGAGCTCCATCAGTCCAGTCCCTCAGGCCACCAACCTGGCAGGCATCCTTGACTTCTCTCTCACACATCCATGTTCAGTCCACCGGTAAATTATATTGTCTCTACACTTGAAATAGATCCAGACTTTGACCATTCCTCACACTTCTACCAGCACCCCCTCCCCTATCCAACCCACCATTGCCTTGTACCTAGATTATTTCAATGGCCTCCAAATGGTCTCTCTGCTTCCACACTTGCCCTCCACCCTCAGCCTCATCAGCCTGTTCTCAATACAGCAGCCAGGATGCTGCTGTTAGACGGTAAGTCAGAAAGTGTCAGTCCTCTGCTTACAATCCTCCTGTGACTCTCTGTCTCACTCTGAGTAAAGCCAGAGTCCTTGGAGCGACTATAAGCCCCTACAAGCCCTGCACCATCCCTCCAGCCTCTCTCTTCCTACAGCCCCCGCCCCTGCTCACTCCCCTCCAGCCACCCTGGCCTTGCTCTTCTGGTGGCCCGTGGGCATGCTGCCACCCAGGCCTTTGCCCTGACTGTTGTATCTGCCTGAGATGTCATTCCCCAGGTTGTCACGTGGCTCGCTCCTTTACCTCCTTCAGGTTCTTGCTCAAACATCATCTCTGTGAGACCTTCCCTGACCCTTTTGAAACCTATAAACCCTTCCCTGCTTTGTTTTTATCCAGAGCACATTTTACTTCCCAATATACTTTATAAATTTCTTATTTATTTTATTTATTGATGCCTGCTGTGTTAGAATGTAAACTCCATGGGAGTGGGGATTTATGTCAGTCTTTTTTTAACTGACATAAATACTTGTTAAATGAAGACAGATTTGATTATATAGCAGTTACATTCTTTGTACCACAAAAGACCACGTAAACTCAGTGAATTATTTTCTATATCTTATCTTTTACACATTTATTATAAAGGATTCCATGGATACTATATAAAGAGTTTCTAGAAATCAATTAGCACAAGGCAAAAAACCCTATAAAGGGCAATGAAGAGGCTTCCCACAGAAGAAATAGGGAAGTGCCAGTAAAGATGTAAATGCAGAGCCTCATTAGTAATCAGGAAAATATAAATTGGAGCAACAGTAAGATGTTTTTCATCCACCGGATTTGCACAAATTGCAAAGATTGATAACATCTAGTGGCACAGTGGTTAAGAGCTCGGCTGCTAACCAAACGGTCGGCAGTTTGAATCCACCAGCTGCTCCTTGGAAATCCTATGGGGCAGTTCTACCCTGTCCTATAGGGTCGCTGTGAGTCAGGTTTGGTTTTTAGTATGACGAGGGGTGTAGAGAATGAGGTTCTCTTCGACAGTGCTGGTGAAAGTGTGTGTTGGCACAGGCTTTCAGAGGACAACGTGGGCAGCACATATTCTTCGTTCAGTAATCCGTCTGCTTACTTAGCTCATAGGATACTCGAATGTGTGCACAGAGATGTCAGTCCAAGGCTCTTCATTGTAGTATTGTTCTTAATAAGAAAAAAGTGGGAAATATTTTAAATATCCATCAAATCTTTAAAAATAGATCACATAATGGGAAGCCTAGGGGGCAATAAGTTGAAGATAATGGTGATGGAATAATTTGGAAAAGGATAGTGCGAATAGCAGCACAACTGGAAGAATG